TGTAATCCTAACATTTACCTTCTCCAAATCTCAGTTTTCCTTCTCTATAAAATGAAGTGGTTTTACTAGATAACAGGAATAACTACCATTTATATAATATTTTTAAAGCTTGCAAAGTAATTCACATAAAATATCTCATTTGATCTCAGGGGATATTCATCTTTTTTGGGGTCATGGACCCCTTTGACAACCTTCTAAAGGTTCCAGGGTAATGTTGGTTTGTTGTTTTTTTTAATAGGATTACAAAGGAAGCCAATGATGTTTAAATAGTTATTAAAATATATTTAAAAACAAAACAAATCCCTGATATATGATTTCTAAGGTCTTTTCCTAAGAACATCAAGAAGGGAGAGGTCATTTATAGCTGGGGAGATGGGAGAAGTGATATTTGAGGATTGGGTAGCACACCAACAGGTGAAGGCTTAGACACTGTAGATGTATAGGGGCCGCTAGGTGGCACAGTGGATAGAGCACCGGCCCTGGATTCAGGAGGACCTGAGTTCACATCTGGCCTCAGACACGTAACAGTTACTACTTGTGTGACCCTGGGCAAGTCACTTAACCCCATTGCCTAACCAAAACAAAACAAGACATTGTAGATGTATGGAGCAGTGTGAGCAAAATTGTCAAGGCTGAAAGCCCACAGCATGGGTTTAGCCAGGGGTAGGTGCATGAAGTAGCGAGCGGCTTGAGATGAGGCTAGGAGAAAGAGGAGGTTCAAGCCTACATCCCTGTGGAGGGCTTTGAACACTAGACAGTGGGATCATGTTGCAGTGCAAGTGTTGGAGACCCAGAGATGGTCTTAGGGGCCCCAGTCTGGTGTTCTTTCTGTCATGCTTTGATCTTTTATCATTCACAACAAAATCTGAAAGAAAAAGCTCCCTGCAGGCAACTTGAGACTGGACATCCCAGAAGAGCCACCCTAATGAAATGACAAACTCCCTGCACTTCACTGCTCAGTATTTGTGTAAACATTTTTGTATCTGGAACAAGGCATAGCTCTCTATTTTCCATTCTGTCATGCCTTGTCTTTAGCTTACTATGGGCGTCTTCAGACTGGGAGCGTCTCTTCCTGTTCCCTGTATTCATTTCCAAAAACAACCCCACCCCCTTTTCCTCTCCCCTTTAGCCTCCTGCTTCTTCTCCCCCCTACCCCCTTTCCTACCTCCTACCTTAAACAGGAGCTCTGGCTTCCATACTGAGTCTTTTGGAAGAGAGGACTCTTGGAGGATTCCTTGATCCTACTGGTCTAGCAACAATGACCCACTCCCCCTTCCTAATTCTCTTCCTACCCTTCAGGATTGTGAGGTATATTTTGTTTTGTAGACTGGCTTTTCCACCTCTGTAGCCATGGTTACCAACTTTGTATGTAAAATAACCAGCATTTCCCAAAATATCACTGATGTTTGCAGACATGGCCTATGAGAAAAGAATTGGATGGCTTTTTAATCTTTTCCTTTTTGGCTCCACCTACAGTTTGAAATATCAAGCTTTCTTTCCTAGGGAATTAATTTGAAAATTTGATTGGTTTCAGAAATCTCTGTTTTGCCTTGTTTTTTTCCTTAGTATTTACAGTATTTCAGAGTTGATGACACAGAAAGTGGATTATGATAAAGAGAACTAACAGATTTTTTAAAAAATACATCCATCTTCCCTAAACTGGTTCTACCTGTATTACACCAAAGCAACGTAAACAAATTATATAATTACAGGGGAAATGAGCTATTGCAGGGAAGTGTGTGCTTTGAGGAAGGTCATGTGTAGGGCCACAGTCAGAAATCTGAAGGCAAACTTGCTTCTTCTGGTCTCTTTAGCAGAATTTTAAAACCCAAACCCACTGTAGTCTTTCCAGTCATGTGCCCTGTTTTAAGTAGTATGTTATTGGTTTGCCAGACTATGCATAATTTAGTCTTAGAATCAAACATCATTTGAACTGAAAAGAGTTTTAGAATAATTAACATAACTGGAAGGGATATCACGACCTAGAACACTCAAGATTCCTTAGAATAAAGAATGTGGTATATTAAATCTAGAAGAAAAAGGGGCCTTAGATGATAAAACAGCATTAGAGATGGAACAGATTTTATTCATCTTACCTATTTTGAAGGAGGGTTTCTCTTATAACCTAGGCTGGAAGTGCAGTGTCCACTCATGGGCCAATTGACATAGGAGCTTTGACTGGTTCCTTTTCTTACCTGGGTTGGTTTACCCTCCTCAGACAGCCTGGTGGTTCCCCACTCCAGGGGTCTCACCATACCATATTGGCATTGTGGACAGCCAGTTGCTGTGCTTTAGGCCACTGCAGCTCAGAACTCCTGAGCTCATGTAACCCACGAGTTTCATCTCCAGTGGTAGGGATGGATCACAAGTGAGTGCCACTGCATCTGGCATGGGATGGACTTTAAAGGCCATTAAATGCAGCCTTTTTATTACAAAGGAGTCATCTGAGGCCTAGAGACTATTGACTTGTTCAGTGTCACAGAGCTAATAGCAGAATCAAAGTTATACTTTATTCTCCAGAATCCTAATCCTAATTTTTTTTTAATCACACCAAGTTGAACAGCTAATGGTGGGAAAGCACATTAGACTAGAAGGTTCAGAATGTACAGATTTTTAAAAAATTTGTTTACCTAGCCACTTTCCTCCTCCCACTCTCACTAATGTTTTTAAAAAGACCCCTTTGGACACATAGTAACTCAAAAGATAGTCAAAGGAATTTGCCTACAAACAAGCATTTATTAAGCACCTACTATATACTAGACACAGTCCCAGACTCTAATGATACAAATAACCCACAAAAATGACAGACCATGCCTTTAAGGAGCTTACATACTGTTGGTTGAGTGGGGTATATATACAAAATAAATACAGGGTGGTGAGGAAGAAGCATAGCTGGGGATCAGGTGGGGAGAGGAAATCAGCAAAGAACTTATGTAGAAGGTGGTACTCAAGCAAATTATTGAAGGGAGCTAGGGCTTCCAAGAGGCAGAGGTGAAGAGGAAGAGCATTCCAGGCTAGGGAGGGGGGCAGGTGCAGGGCACAGAGACTGCTGATAGGAGTGTGTCACGTGTGAAGGACAAGGAGGAGGCCAGTCTGGCAGGGACTAGCAAGTACCTAAATGTAAAATTGTTAAGATTGAAAAAGTAGGTTGGGGCTAGGTTGTGAAGAGTTTTAAATACCAAACAGAGCAGTTCTTCTTTGACCCTAGAGTAATAAAAAGTCACTGGCATGTATTTGGCTGACATGGTTAGTCTTGTGCTTTGGGGAAATCACTTTGGCATCTTTGTAGAGGAGGGATTGGAGAGGAGAGAGACTCAAGGAGGGAGACTAGGAGGCACTCTCTTGTTACTGTTCTCTTTGAGATCACCGTTTGCCTCCCTTTCTCTCTCATTTTGTAGATGAGGAAATCATCAAAGAGAAGTGATTTGCCCAAGGTCCCATGGCTAGTCAAAGGAAGAGCCAAGGCTGGAACCCAGATCTTGGGGTTCCTGTTCCAGTGCTCTTTCCACTATACTGCTTACTAATTACAGCATGAAAAGGAATTTCAGTAGGTTAGGTGTACTTCTTCCAAATTGCACAAAGAAAACTATGGAGTTAATGGAACAATGCTCATTAGAATCATAAAAAATATATTTCTAGAGAGATTGTGATAGTCACAGTTTATATGTGAAGAAACCAAGGCTCAGAGAAGTGAGATGCCTTAGTTCATAGAGAGTAACATACCTCCAACTTTGAATCCAGATCTCACCATACTTACTTCTCTGTCCTATAGGAAAATGCAATACTTAAAATAATGAAGTTTGACTTCTATAGCAGTAGGTTCAGATTCACATTAAGTCAAGAAGAGTCTATTCACCAATGTTCTCTGGTAAAGTGTGTGTGGCGGGGGGAGAGTGAAGGTGTTTTGAATCAATAAACATTTATTAAGCTCATTCTTGGCCCCAAAGATTAAAAATGATATAGTCCTGCCTCAAAAAACAGTATAATTTTTTTTTGAGGTAGAGGGGTTGGGGATGGACTGAGATTGAAGATATAAATAATAGGTATGATACAAGGTGGACAATGATTAAACAAAGAAGATAGAGTACTTAAAATTGCAGGAAGGGAGTAGAGGGTGGGGAAATACTCTTCAAGGAAGAGATGGCCCCTAAGTTGGGCCTTAAAGGAGAAAGATAGACACATTGATAAATAAAGGTGAAGGTGGAAGCTATTCCAAGCATGGTTGACAAAATAAGCAAAGGAACAGTGATGTTAGAGGGTAAGACAAGAGCAGGGGATGGAAAATAGTCTAGAATGTAGACATGGGACAGGTAGGTTGGAACAAGGTTATAAAGAATCTTAAATGGAGTTTAAGTTGATTAGGTAGGGGATGGGAAGCCATCTAAACGTTTTAGAGTTGGAGAGATTAGATACCAAGATTATATAGTGATACAGTGGAAAAAACACTGGACTTGGGAGTCAAGAGACATGGGTTGGGATTCCAGCTTCATCATTTATTAGCTTTGTGACTCTGCAATCCCTTTAATCTCTTTAACCTCTTACTTTATGTGCAAAATGGGGATGATAATATTTGCACTCTCTACCTTATAGGGTTGTGAGATTATGAACTTTAAAGCTGCATATAAAAATGTGAGTTATTACTTGAGTGGCAGTGTAGCTAATGGATATGTGTGTATGTAAGTGTGTGTATATATGTAAATGTATACACACACATATATTTATTTTTATTTATAGTCAGGACACCTGAATTCAAATCCATCTCTGCTACTTACTACCTGTGTGACTCTGCAAATCATCTAGCTCTTTGGGCATTAGTTTTCCTATCTATAAAATGAGGAAGTTGGACTAATAGATCTCAGAGGTCCATTCCAAAGATCTCTACAAATTCTTTGGTGAGCCTGGGTATCTGTTGCTCTTCTCACCACAAAATTTTCATTGCCTAAGAGTCTGAGTTAGCCCATCTCACGCAATTGAAGCTGTTTCCTGTCCTCTTCACACAGGTGAAAGGATTCTGGGTTATGCAGAGGAGCCCTGCTATCTCTGGTTTGTCATGGAGTTCTGTGAAGGGGGAGATCTGAATCAGTATGTGCTGTCCCGTCGGCCAGACCCAGCCACCAACCGAAGCTTCATGCTGCAGCTTACCAGTGCCATCGCCTTCCTACACAAAAACCACATCGTGCACAGGGACCTCAAGCCTGACAACATCCTAATCACTGAGAGATCTGGGGTCCCCGTCCTTAAGGTTGCTGACTTTGGACTCAGCAAAGTCTGTGCTGGGCTGGCACCACGAGGGAAAGAGGGTGGTCAGGACAACAAAAATGTGAATGTGAATAAATACTGGTTGTCCTCAGCCTGCGGCTCTGACTTCTACATGGCCCCTGAGGTCTGGGAGGGGCACTACACAGCCAAGGCGGACATCTTTGCCCTAGGCATTATCATTTGGGCCATGATAGAGCGGATCACGTTCATTGACTCCGAGACCAAGAAGGAACTGCTGGGGACCTACATCAAGCAGGGGACAGAGATTGTACCCGTAGGGGAAGCGCTGCTAGAGAACCCAAAGATGGAGTTGCACATCCCCCAGAAACGCAGGACTTCCATGTCTGAGGGGATCAAGCAGCTCTTGAAAGATATGTTAGCTGCTAACCCACAAGACCGACCTGATGCCTTTGAGCTTGAAACAAGAATGGACCAAGTCACATGTGCTGCTTAAAATTCAGGGCAAAGCATCCCGGGCGTTTTATAACTGGGTGAGTATTTGGTTGGATCTGGGTTATTTTCTCCCCACAGAAGTGTCTGAAGAACCAGGGAGTATCCCAGGAAACTGTGGGGCTACATTAGGAACTGAGAGCTGTAATGTAATGTAATGGAAGGAACCCTGGATTTTCAGTCAGAAGACCTAGATTTTGATCCTGTCTCTGATACTAATAGCTGTATGACCTTGGGCAAATCACTTAATCTGTCTGTACCCCCATTTTCTCATCTCCAAAGTAGGGATGGTAATACTTGCTACATCACAAGGCTTTTGGAAAGATCAGAAGAGATAATGTGTATAAAAATTACTATGTACACTAAAAGGAGGAATTATGTTAACATAGGTATTGCTTGTCATCCTTTGTAGAGTCACAGACTTAGTCTCAAGGGACTTAGATGTCATATGCGCTAATCCCTTAACTTTACAGATGACTGAGTTACTTCCCCGGGAGAGGAAGTTACTTGCCCAAGGTATGACAGAGGTATCAAGTAGCAAAGTGAGAATTTGAACCCCAATCCCCCAATTCCAAATCCGTGCTTTTACTACTTAAGACCTACTACCACTTAAGCCATTAATGATTTTTGTGAGTATAAATTTGTACCTACTTAGGATGGGGGATAATAAGGTACTTGCTGAGTTTCTAGTATGGGTGGAATACCCAGACCTAGGGCCATTCTTGATTGGCTGAAGGCATGACATGGATTTTAAAACAGATTGAAGGGGGGGGTTATTCTTGCATGCTGGTAGTGGGCAGATCCCAAAGCCATCTCTGGACTTTGGAGAAGAAACAAACCCCATTTCCTGTTGGAGTCAAGAAGGAGCAGGAGGTTTGAGGGCAACTCTGGTCTGAGATACAGCAGAACCTGCAAGAAGATGGAGTGTAGTCTAGACCACAGAAACTCTAATCAAGGATAATAAATTGATGAACCAACCAGAGCTGCTTCTAGTCCAGTTACTAACCAGAGCACAATGATTTCTTTCCCATTCTTAACTCTTAAAATATATTCTGATACAACAGAACAAAAATTCATAAAGTGTCTCTTGTCTGAAGGGTACTGTACTATTTTTAATCAGTGGAGAAGCCTTAGTGACAACATGCAGTGCACCTCTTGCCTCAGGAGGATGGCTAGGTAACATCTTCAGTCCTCAAATGAAGCAGGCTCAGTTCTGGGATGGTGTAGTCACTAGCAGTGAATGACTTTGAAGACTCCTGTTCTCTAACTCTCTTTGCCTTCTCTTTCCTGCTTTCCCTGCCCCAGCACTCTGCAAGGAACCATTTATTAGCTAGAATACCAGAGTACAACAGTCCCTTTGTTATGTTCTCAGCACAGTTATTTTACATACTAAATCATTGAGGAACTGCTTCTCCAACAGCTTATCCAACTATCTTTCTTTGGTTGAATTTAGGGGTACAACGCTGGAAACAAAAAGGCCAGGTGGACTCCTTTAATGTCTAGGACTCTTTTTCAGTTTCTCTTATCCTTTTCACTCTCTGGGGCCCATTTCGACTGTCCTTTAAAGGAGGATCCCTATATCCTGTAGGGCTGCCATTGGAGTATCTAATCTAAAATGTGGGCCTAGAAACCAGTTCCCATGATACAGGGAAAAGAGCACTGATTTAGAAGGAAAGGGCCTGGGTTCAGATCTTGGCTCTGCTGTTTCATAGCTCTATGATGTTAGGTATGATATTTTTCCTCATTGAACCTGAGTTTCTTCACCTGGAAAATTAAGGCCTTTGACTAGATGATTGCTGAGGTTCTTTCCAGCTCTAAATCTCATGATCTTTTGTGCACATGGAGCTTCATAGTTACAGTGCTTTATTCGTGTCATTATGAGGTAAGTATTATATGTTATCCCTGTGTTACAAATTAAGGAAACTGAGGTCCAACCTTCTCACTTTCTAGATGAGGACACTGAAACCCAGAGAGGTTAGGTGACTTGCCCATGGTGAAGGGAGAAGGTGGCAGTGAGGATTCTAGTTTGGGTCCTATGCCTTCTGAGTTCAGCACTCATTCCACTGCCCTACTGAGTTCTGGATGAAGGAGAGTGAAATAGATGCTCTTGTCCTTGGAGTCTGCTCTTCCTGGTCCATTGGTTTCCATTCCATGGTCTAGGATTCTCAAAGGGAATCAGGAGATTTTATGGAGGAAATGAAATGACTTTGTATCTTGGCCTTAAAAGATGGGTAGTTGAAGAGGACAGTAAAGAGGGTATTCCAAGCTTTGGAGGTGGTACAAAGTTGAGAAAGCAAGGGTATGGGGATGGCAGAGTAGAGTCTGGCTAAGTCTTCTAATAAATAAGAGAAGGATGAAAAGGTAAGGTGGATGGGTAGGTGGGTTGGTAGGTCAGCATATGGCGGAGGAATCTAAATTCCTAACCTGTAGGCAATAGGGAGCCGTTAAAGTGATTTAAACAGTCGTGATGTGACCAGATTTATGCATAAGGAGGATGAGTTTGGCTGTTTGGGGAGGATGTAAAGCTAAGGAGACCTAATAGTGGAAGTGAGGGCCTGAAGTCTTGTGGTGGCAGTGGAATTAGGAGGGGATTAATTACAGGGCTGTTACGGAGGGCGGAAGAGCCCGCTCTGAACATAAATGAAGCTGAGCATAGGCTCTAGTCTTGTGCTCCAACACCCGCGCGATAAAAGAGGTCCGCGGTGCATCCAGCCGGGATGGATTTAAGGTCACCCTCTGTCAGAGATACGTGAGTTTGGTTGTTAGTAAAGGAGAACTAGAAAACTCTGTCTGTGTGTTTACTTAAAACTCCAGCCAGAGTTGGCATAGCTTGTTTAACTCAAATACAAACACCTTGCTTTGCTTCTGCTACCCCTCCCCATCCCACTGAAACAAGATCAGACCTTGCTTCTTAGTTAGAGTATTATTGAATCACTTTACCTTTAAGAACAAAAGCTCTAGTCTCAAACTGCTCTGTTCCAAAACATCTATTTTTGCACATTACTCAATACTAGGTAGCAGAGTCCTTATTCTCTCTTACTTGTTTCCTTCAGCTACTGCAGTTGCCCTGCTATATCTTGAGTCCAAATGTGAAACCAACCAGGCTGATGTTCTAGGTGTCACCGGCTCAACAAGGGGGGGAGCAGTCTGCATTCACAGCTGAGGCAGATGTCTATAAACAAAACAGTGTAACTAGGGCCTCCCTGAGCCAAGGCCCTAATGTGTGACGCGTCTGACTGAGCCCAGAAAGTCCTGAGCATTCAAAGCTAAGTGCTGCTGTAAGTGTTAGGGAGACATCAGCAGAGCAGACCCAAGTTGAAATGCTTGGATCATAGGGACTATAGATAGTTAGGCCTAGGAGGAGTGGGGACCTTGGCAAGCAGTCTTGAGACAAGAAGAAAGGTCTGTGCATCTCAAGCCAGGGCAGAAGGGAAATGAGGTTAGACTTGAATGGTTGCCGTTTAAAAGAGTGAGGCTACCACAAAATGAAGCAGGGAACAGTGAGGAAAGGCCTAGACTGGCGGTGAGGGGCCTTGGGGGCCAGGCCCTGCTACTGACTTGTTCAGTGGCTAGCAACAGCTGTTCACAATTATGTAATGCTTTACTCTGGTTTCTATAGAGCATTTTACATATCCCTCATTTGATATTCACAACTCTGAGGGACTGCAAATAATCGTAACTAATAATAGTAGTTGTAGTAAAACGCAAACTTCTCAAGTGCTTTAAGGATCACTACATGCTCTGCTCGAATCAGTCATGTAAGATATGCAGAGAAAGAGTTGTGCCCATTTCACTGAAGATCCAAGGTTTAGGAGGATGTGGTTAGATGGGATGTCTAGTCCCAAAGTCATGAACTTAGAGATTTAACCCAGCCCCTCTCACCCTGAATTCAGTGTTCTTTCCCCTGCACCATATCCTACTTTCTTCTGCCTTTGCTCTTTTTAGGCCTTTTCCTCCCTTGACCTCATTTTTCTTACATGTAAAATAAAGGATGTTGGACTTGATGGTTATGTCTTATTCAGATACAAAATTTTGTAATTCTGAGATCCTCACAATAGCCTTATCAGGTCAGGTATTATCCTCATTTTAAATGTGATGAAGTGGAGGCTGAGTGAGATTAAAAAATCTGTCTGAGGTCACAGCAAGATAGTGATAACACTGAGACACTACAACCTGGATATCTTCTCATTTCAAATTCAGTGCTTGCTCCACTGTGCCATAACTGCCTAGATAAATCACTTTCTTCTGGGCCTCAGTTTCCTTACCAGCAAAAGTAAACGGAATAGATGATCTGCAGGGTTACTTTCAACTCCAGCACTGGGTTCTAAGATGGATTCTGTCTCTCTTACATACTTCCTCAAGTCTTTTCTACTGCTCTTCTACTGCAGTTTATGATCCTAACAGTTAGCAAGTTCATTAACTAGAAGCATAAAAAATATGTAGACCTTTTATGAAATTGATGCTGCTTAACCACATTTAGCAGGTCTTGTGCTTTGTTCTTGTCTTTGCTGTAGTCCTGATGGGTTTTACCAAACATAGTACCAATAGCAGGCCATTTGTGAGGGTCAGGGAAGCAGTACATGTATGAATCTAGAGGAAGGGAGGCTCTGCCTTGACCTCCATTTACTGAGCCAGCAGGTCTACCTTGTTTACCTGGGCAAATTACCACCCCCACATGCTAGCTCTGATTCTGGCTGTTCTAGTCCCTCACCTTTAGTTTGGGTCATCTCTACTGCCTCAGATTTAACACTTTTCCTAGACTTCTCCTTTACGCTTAATCACATTCTGCCTTATATCATACTTTTCTACTCTTAGATTACAAAGTTCCCAAAGGAGAAGGTGTATGCCACACCCAGAGTCTGCACGTAGTAGGCATTTAATAAAACTACAAATAGGAACAGTTTATGAAATGTATAATTTGCGAAGAGAGGTGCATTGATCCACCTTCAATATCACTATGAATTTCAAACCTGTTAGTAATATAACTGACACTGATTTGTATTTTAAGCCCCTTTTAAATTGTTTTATATCTGCTGTCTGT